CCCAGATGTGTGAGTGACCTTGTTTGGGAAGAGCAAGCAAACTAACCTCAAAAAACAAACCTCTCTCCAGCCTGTGGTTCCGCAGCCCCAACCCGACGGCACCAACCAAACAGCCTCCAGCCCTGCAGTGGTACCAGATGCACCCTCGCCCCCTCCAGCTAGCCCGCCAGCAGCCTCCCTGGTGGTGGGACCCATGGTGGTGAAGACTCCCCAAAAGCCCCCCTTGCACCAGGCTCACTACGACCTGCGCCATACCTTCTCAGGTGTGGCCTCCGTGGAGTCAGCCTCAGGAGAAGCATTCCACCAGGCAAAGGCACCCAGCGTGGCACAGCCCGGTGTTGCTGTTGCTACTGGTCCAGCGCCCCCTGTCTGCCCAGGGAGGATCAGATACTTCAAGGTCTAGGCTGGACACAACAGAGATAAGAAGGTTGGGCACGGAGAACACAGCCACCATGTATATTGTCCAAGTCTGGGGGCCTTGTCTGCTGTCAAAACAAGTGTCACATGTGGAACAGGTTAATATCAACTCTTGAATCCCAACTTCTCTTCACTCCTCAGAGGACAGAAGCAGAGGGGGTGATGGTGGTACCTGATGGAAGGCATAAGGCCCACAACCTGATTGTCATTGTGTAGGTGATGAGTCACTGCCATCATGTCCTCCGCCTTCTGGCTGAGAAACAGCTATAACTGTGACTTCTAGAGGTGCTATTGTTAAGCTTGTATCCGTCTATTAATAAAAGTGCCTGAAAGAGCTTCCTTAATAAAGAAGGTTCTAAGCAAAACTGTGGTCATGATTATTGCCTACTTCATCCAAGCTCTGCTCAAGGATGTGGGCTGTGGTGCCGACAACCACACAAGTGTCACCAATCCAAACTGGTATAAAAACAAACCGAAGGGAACAGGAATCTGCAGTGTCGCTCTGTACAGGAAAAAGTGACTTGACTCTGCTCCCAACCCATACACTATAACCACTTCCTTACGAGAAAATCATTCTTTTCATTTCATAAAGGGTAGGAAATATTGCTAATGGTCAGCCAGGCCTCTGAGCTTTATGCAGACAAACCACACACTGGTTTCTTCCAATTTCCAGGTAAGAAGGGATTGGTAGTTAACCCGGGAACCTCACTCTCATTATACATGCCCGTTATGGTTAAAATGCTTGTTAATACACTATTTTTACTTCATTTTATGACACAGGATTGGTCATTCTAGCCAATCTATTTTAAGGATTCAAATGAAAGCTCTGGTTTATAATATAATTGGATAATTGGACAGGTGAATCTGATGGGCATTTGTAGATACTGTCCAGGTGCTCAGATAGCATATGGTGGAAAAAGTCCCCATTACAGAAAGGTGTCTAGGCAATTTCAATCTGTATTCATCGGCACCGACAGAGAGCATCTGGTCCTCAGTGATGGACTCTTCCAAGTGAATTTTTTTTTTTTAAGTTTTTGCGATAGGGTGCATGCGGTCACCAGGGAGAGGAAAAACACAGAGAGGAAGTGAGATATCACACCCCACACACACACACAAGGAGGGGATAGCCATGCCGCAATTTCTTCTCCTCCATTTTTTTGCTGGGATTCTGGCACACATGCATGCATCCAGCACTCAAAATGTGGTTGGGTCTGGGACTTGAAGCATGGTTGGCCATGTGAGAGTCCAGCCCCCTAACTACCATACCACCTGCTGGGCCCCAGATGCCTTTTTTTTTTTTGGAGAGGTTTTTGCTATAGGGTGCGTGCACTCGCCAGACAGACAGAGGGAGACAGAGAGACAGAAAGCGAGAAATCACCCCCCAGGGGGGATGGCCATGCTGCAATCCCTTCTCCTCCATTCTCCTCTCGGGATCTTGGGCACGCACGCACATGCGCCCGGCGTGAGTTTTAAGCCACCGGGTCTGGGACTCGAATCGCAGTCGACTATGTGGGATTCCAGCGACACAGCCATTACACTAACTGCTGGTCCACCCAGATGCAATTTTAAAGGGGTGGGACTGGCAGCCAGTTGAGTGGCATCGCTTGAACCAAGGAGACTGAACCAAGCATTGACACTCACGTCGTCATTCTTGCCTAGAGGTTTTACCAGTGCTATAGTTTTGAACATACCCCCTCTACTTCACCAAAAAAAAAAATAATAAAATCACGTGTTGATTAGGTTAATAGTATAATTAAGAGTGAAAAACATAATTCAATTATGGTGTTACAAAGTGGGACCTTTAGGAAAAGATTAGGATTAAAGTCATTAGGGTGGGGCCTCATGATTGAGTGCTGGTAGTTTTTGTTTTGTTTTGGTTTGGTTTTTTTTGAGAGGTTTTCACTATAGGGCGCATGTGCTCACCAGACAGACAGAGAGAGACAGAGAGACAGAAAACGAGAAATCACCCCCCAGGGGGGATAGTCACACCGCAATCCCTTCTCCTCCATTCTTCTCTCGGGATCTTGGGCACGCAAGCACACGCGCCTGGCGTGAGTTCTAAGCCACTGGGTCCAGGATGCAAACAGCGGTTGACTACGTGGGAATCCAGCGACATAGCCATTATGCTGACTGCTGGTTCCCAGTGCTGGTAGGTTTCTAAGGAGAGGGAATTAGATAAAAGGAGAGACTGATGAACACCGCTGCTCTGCTATGCTCTCGTCCTCAAGATGAATTGAGACCCTACAAAACCCCCACCGGACATGGCCCTGGACCTCGGACTTCTGAACTGTGAGTTGAGTAAGCCTGTTTGTTTATAAACCACTCAGTTTCAGGTATTTTCTGTGATTAGCAATAAAAGGGACTAGAACCTCCAGCAACCGAAAGAAATGGCTGGGAAGGTTGGAAAACCACAGACACCAGAGAAAAAGAGGAAAGTATGGGCCCCTGTGTTAAGTGCTGCGGAGAGCAAGGAGGAGGAGGACTGGGAAGAGACCACTGTTTTAACTGACTGACTCAGAGGTCATGGTGAGCACTGGCAGATACCATTGCGTCAACAGTGACTATCGACAGTTGCTGAGGGTCAACTGAAGACATATAGGGAGGAAATGAAGGGGCACGTGTTTTCTTCTCTTTTAAGCAGTTTGAGGGTGGAGGTAGCTGTTAAATGCAATCTGAAAGGATAGCTATATGGAGGAAAGGTTTCTTTTTTCGGGAAAAGAAAGGTTGTGAGTGCATTAGGGCAAAAGATAGGAAAAGATGGAAGAAAAACTAAAGAAAGTGAAGGATGGTAGGATGCTGGAGGGGATAGTGGAGAGTTTGGAATGGGATTCTAGTCCTTTCTTTTTTTTTTTTTTTTTTTTTTTTGGTGGGGGGAGCT